ACAATCATCTTTAATCACGACAACTTCCTGCTACAAGTAGCAGAGGATGTTGACCTTTCCATGCTGCTTTCACCCCGCAGCTGTTCTGACCACAACTCCTGCCAGTGATACCCCGGGGCTTGCCATCGATCATCATGAGTTCTGCTTCTTCCGGGTCTCACATTCCGGTACAGGGTCATGCCCTCGCTGCCAAACAGTCCCTGAGGGCCTTGAAGCGATATCCTTCAGAACAGCTGTGCCTGACCTGGGTTAGCAAAAGGCTGAACCAATGCAGGCATGCTGACTTTGCACTCTGGATCCTCGACCTCCATCAAAGATGCGAAGAAGGGGTTCAACAAAAGGGCTACATCGAGCTTGTTCGAGGGACTGGTTTACGTTTCTGCAGATCACTGAAAACTGCAACGCCCCACATGTGACAGACTGCAACGGTCAGAAAGACGGCAAGACGCAAGAGACCTTCCATCCCAAGCCATGATAAAAATCCCTGAGAATCTCCAACAACAGCTGAGTCCTCGACGCCATGGTATTTCTGTGTCTCTGGGGCGCCTTTTCCAGCGGTAGCATTACTGCTTGATATTGTTATTTGGCATTACTATCAGTAGGACTATATCGGACTATTCGCATTGAGTACGACCTTCAAGAACGATCTCCTCTAGCCCCGCTTCGGGCGCAGTAGTTCCAAGAACCCGATTGCTTCTATCAGTACTATTGCTGTAATATTAATTACTACAAATGTTGCTACAGATTTGCTATACAATTACCACATTACTTCTTTTTGTTTACTAGAATTTGAGTACTAGTATCATACCCATGATCCGTACTGTCACAGTTTCTGCTTCTGTGTTTATGTATTGCCATTGCTACATACTCGGGGTTGACGGCTCGCCTGGTCGAGGGCCTTGGCCCCTCGCCCTCGAACCCTAAACAGCAAAAGTAGTAGTAGTAGTAGTAGTAGTAGTAGTAGTAGTAGTAGTAGTAGTAGTAGTAGTAGTAGTAGTCGTAGTAGTAATAGTAGTAGCAGCAGTAGTAGCAGCAGTAGTAGTAGTCGTCGTAGTAGTCGTCGTAGTAGTAGTGGTACAAGTAGAAGTCGTCATCGTTGTCGTGGTGGTGGTAGTAGTAGTAGTAGCAGCAGTAGTAGTAGTAGTCGTCGTAGTAGTCGTCGTAGTAGTAGTGGTACAAGTAGAAGTCGTCGTCGTTGTCGTGGTGGTGGTAGAAGGAGTAGTAGCAGCAGTAGTAGTAGTAGTCGTCGTAGTAGTAGTGGTACAAGTAGAAGTCGTCGTCGTTGTCGTCGTGGTGGTAGTAGTGGTAGTAGTGGTAGTAGTAGTAGTAGTAGTAGCAGTAGTAGTAGTAGTAGTAGTAGTAGAAGTAGAAGTAGAAGTAGAAGTAGAAGTAGAAGTAGAAGTAGAAGTAGAAGTAGAAGTCGTCGTCGTTGTCGCGTTGGTGGTAGTAGTAGTAGTAGTAGTAGTAGTAGTAGTAGTAGTAGTAGTAGTAGTAGTAGTAGTAGTAGTAGTAGTAGTAGTAGTAGTAGTAGTAGTAGTAATAGTAGTAGTAGTAGTAGTAGTAGTAGTAGTAGTAGTAGAAGTAGAATAGAAGTAACGGGCGCAGCTCGGCATTCACAGTGCCCAGCCTGCTCGTGCTCGCCCCAGCTGCGTCGACAACAAGCAGAGCCAAAGATCAGCGACAACAAACAAGGCTTACATTATCTGGTTTGGGGTTTGGGTATGGGGCCAATGGCAGCAAGCGGGGTGACGCAGGAGCCAGGCGCTCGAGGAGCAAAGCGCTAACTTCTTCACACCCTTGGAGCTTTTGGCTTTGGCTCTCTTGATCAGGCTATGTGAACAGAGGCCACTCCCCTTTAACACCTTGACGACGCGGTGCTTTCAGTCTACAGCGGCAGAGATTCTAGTGGGACCCACCCCGTGCAAGCAAAGCACACAGCGTTTGTCGAGCGCGCGGTCGTAGTGCAGCACAATCACGTGCCTGTCTGTGAAGCCATGTCAACCTCTTCAAGTGGAGGATCCACTGATACAATCCAGGGGCCCTCGAGGGTAAGGGTGGTCCCCGGCCTACTTGCGTGGGTCGCGAAAATCTGGCCTGAAGGGGCCGCCCAATGTGTAGCTAAGGGCAACTCTGAGAAAGACCTTCCACGCCCCACACAAGTTCAACGTGCAATTTCCAATCCATCAAGCATCTCCAGGCGTTTCCTGCTCTTGTTGAAGGATGATCCCGGGGAGTTGGAGGAGGGATCGCACGTATAGCACAAGTCAAACGTTCCCCGGCGATCCGGGTGAAGTGGGCCCCTCGCTCTGTTCGAGGAGGACAGGAAAACCGTGCCTCCAAGGGCCCAAGTTGGCGAACGAAACCAACCTGCACTGAAAGCCTAACCTCTAAACCCAGACCTAAAAAGAAGGAGGATCTTGAAATTCTCATACATATATATATATATACACATATACATATTCATATATTTCTACATCTTTGTAGAGAAACATGGTTACATGGATGGACTCTTGAGGCTCTCGTCTGTCCCGAGGGTGGCCCTGGCCAAACTTGGTCTCTCCAGGGCCCCCACCTTAAAGGCGATGCTCCGGTTTTTTTGGGACCCGGATGGGTGAGAAAAGTCGCGGCCTCCCGCGAGGCCGCGTGAGTGGACGCTCTTTTGGCGGCTGGAAGCGGGTTCACGCCTCCAAAAGCCGCGGAATATGGATATACCTAGACTTGATTTCAACCTCTGGGTTGGTGTCGACGCCGAACTGACAAGGCTTCGTGGCGAAGCCTCTCCAGCTCTGTACAGCCTGCCGAAAACGGTCACCAAAATCTGCAGTTCAAGCGAGCGCGCCGAAGCTTGAAAACGACAAGCCTCTGGCTTTCTGGGCCCCTCCCGAGCAAGTCCGCAGCTGGAGCCACCCTCCTACCCATGGAGGCCCTGGGCAACGGGATCTCTGCGAGCTCTTTCTTGGATGATCTCTCCAGAGCCCTCCTCTGCAGTGGGACGTGAGGGTTGGCCCGAGCCGGCTGACAGCAAAGCATGGGATGGCAGCCACTGTACATGGGAGAGGGAAAAAGCGACGGCGCTAGAGTGCCCTACTGCAGCTACTGCAACATGTATGGATTGGCAGGTTGGCGCATCGGTGCACCAAAAAGGTAGGAAAGGCACAGGAATCAAGAACGCCTGGCCTCCCATTGAGTTCAGGAAAGGAGGAGACTGTGCTGCGCCCGGCGTCGCTCATCTTTCGCTAGCTGGCGCAGAAAGCACACTCCTTTGCGAAGAAAGAGAACCTTTACCACGAATCACACCATTGAGGAACCGTAGACCTCGCAAACCTCAAAAATTAATCGAATGAGCCGTCCAGTGGAAGCAGCCTCCAGGCCACTTTGGTTTGTCGGTCCGCTTGCACATGGTCGGCTGTGACCGCACCATAGCAGGAAGATAGCCGTGAAGTCTATGGTGGAGTCTATGGATGCTAGAACTGCCAGAACAAACCCCATTTCTTCTTTCTCGAACAGGAATTGTGCGAGGACCGCTAGGGAGTAGAGTTTGGTTTCAGTCTCGGGTCGCTTCTGCTGCGCACTACTGTCGAGAAGCCCTCAACACTGATCGCTAGGCACGCCGTGCATGGGACGAACAGCTAGCTGGGGTGCTGTCTTTACGTTTCGTGGCGCGGGGCACCGAAACCCTTAGACTTTGACTCACGGCCGAAAGCAAGCAAGCTAACATAGACCGTAAGGAGTTAGTTGCGTCTTCAAGTAGGACCGCTTAATTAAACGGATCCTAACTGAAGAAACCCTCATATACCCCTTCAGCCTGAATTACATTCCGAAGCCCGACATCCGAAGCACTCTGAGCTCTAGAGACCTCTGTGTTTCCATCCCGACACGGCATCTCCCAAGCACTGGTGTCTCTGACAAGTTGGGCCCACAGCCTGCCGAAGCGACCACAGCCGCTTTCGACTTTGTGTTTCAAAACTCCTCTAGTTGACTTGTGCTCGAAGCCGAGAGAAGCCGATAGAAGCATGACTGACAAGGAGAACATGCGAACAGATAGCGCAAGCAAGTGAACATGATGAGTATATTTTTCGGTGAGGTGGAACTGATCCCTACGCAGCTGCCTACTTTGGGATAGCTTGGGCTCGCAGTCGCAAGCTCGGCATGCTGTGGGCAATCGATGCACCTGGGACTTCAGCTAGGGACGGAGTTCCCCTTTCGTGGAAGACTCTTTGAACAAGGATTCCTGACGGCAAACACATGCAAAACCCTGCCCCCCTTACGTCCGTCCTCTGAACTAAGTTTGCCTTACCCAGATTCATGCTAGAGGTCTGGACCAGCATTCCTGCAACAACCGTTCTCCTGCTGGCCACGTGCAGACTCCTGATTCTGATGTTCTGGGCTGGTTTGACCTGTCCCTGCCCGGGGAACCCAACCTAGCCTGAGTTCCGCAGGAAAAACGCCTGCGGAGCGGCTGAAGCGGCTGAGGGAAAAGAGCCCGTCTACGAGGCTCCGATTCTCTCTTGGTGTGCCGTCGCCTTCTGGCCCGATGAGAGCCGGACAAGATCTTTTCCCACAACTTTCGTATTGGTAGCACAAGTCATGAGCCTCATCTTCGAATTCTTCGCTTCCGTCACAAAAGGGCTTCTGAAGCTGTGCCATCTCTACCAAACCGTAACCCCTGAACACTAAACGCCAAACCTAGTCCATGATTGGGAAAGTAGAGTAAAAATCAAGAATGTCCATTCCTTCGCGGGTTTAAGTACCAATGCAGATCTAGAAAGCTTTACCAACTTGACGAGGAAGCCCTACATTAGGGGTCGATTTCAACAGTCAACAGTTCCCAAAATTCTGTATACTTGGGGCTCTATACTAAATTCACTTAAGGCAACACAAGAAACTATCCCGAATCCATACCTACTAAGGACCTGGTGACCTAGTGTAAACCCTAAACCCGAGCAGGATCCGAAGATGGGACCGCAGAGGCCGACGATTGGCCCGAGGAACCAGGTCCCTCACCGCCTCCCCGACACGCAAAGTCTTGTAGTGTAGGGGCCTTAAGAATTAGAATAGGATTGGGGGGTATAGTGTACTGTAATGATAATAAGGCGACCCCCACAGCCCTATTCTAACTATGAAGGCCCCTATATTAGGTCTTTGGGTTGGGAGTTTAGAGCTATTTGGGGTATAGGGTTTAGCTTGTAGGGTACAGAGCTGTTTGGGGTATAGGGCCGGTATAGGGTGCCTTTTGTAACTTAAGGGTTCTTTGGGGGCTTAGGGGTTCGTGGGTCTGGGGCCTTTGGGCTTGTAGGGTTCAAAGCTTAGGGCTTTAGGGTTTCAGTATTGAGGGCTTCGGGTTTTGCCGTTTAGGACTCATACGGCTTGCGGTGGGCTTTAGTAGGATTCGGGTAAACGGGTCATAAGGTTTTATGGGACTGGCATGGCTGATGCTGTCTATGCGGTGTCGGCTTGGGTTTACAGGGATTCAGTTGTAGGGTCTAGGGACCAGGGTCTAGGCTCCAAAGCATACACCTCCGGCTGCAATGAAAGTTAAGGTTGGTACTCCAAGGTGCAGCATCCCCACATCCTGAGAACCCTTGGTAAACGTGCCGTTGGGTTGTCCCCCAAAACCAACACAAAATGCGATTCCGGAAACACCTTCCTCGATTCCCACCTGCGAACAGCTCAGTATCCCGACATCACCGAATCAGCACACATGTCATGCACAGCTTCATTCCCAAAAGCCCAACCCCGGCACTGCAGATACGAGGCCTGCCCCCAGCAGGCACCCGCTTGGGGTAGCTCTGGAACCTGACTGATGGTTGCCGGATCCAACTTGTCTCATGGGCTTCGCGTTCAACTAGGAGAGTATTGTAGGGGCCTGAAAAATTAGAATAAGGTTTTGGGGCGAGGTATATTATGCTATAATTATGCTAAGGAGCACGCAAAATGGTTTTAGGTAATTATATAATTAAGGCCCCTCTATTCATGGGCCAAGGACTGCTTGTTTTAAGTCTCGGAGTCGCGAGCTGTGGGCAAAAAGGTTCTGCCAAGGTCGTTTGGGGCTGAATCTGGCCCCACTCAACGGCTTGGGCCCAGAGTTGAAAGCTGTTACAAGGCCACGTGCCCTGGGCATTAGCTTCGAACAGTCGCATGGATTCTCCTGCTTGGGGTGCACGGAGGCAGCGACATGTGGGCTTCAGGTTGGTGTCTACATTCTCCCCTCCGGCAGTCGTCGGCAGCTGCGGCTTTGTCCCGATTGCAAATTTCGTCAAAAGACCCTCCCAGGCCAATCGCTGCCCAAGGAGCGGGACCATGGGATGCGGGAACAGCTCCGAGAAAGGCACGAAGTCCTTGGTTGGGAAAACCGAAGAATTCCACCGGATGGGCGCACCGCAAAAAAAGTCACAAGGCTTCTGAAAGAGCACCCGAGAGTCATCCTGCTCGGAACACCTGGCAGCTTGGCCAGAGCAGTCGGCAGGTTTAGCCATCTAGCCCTCTCAAAACTGGGGCTGACATGAACTCAACTGGCAAGCCAGATATTACATATACATGTGTATAGAAATATGTGTGTATATATAAACATATATATATATATATATATGCATATGGATATTTATGTATGTACGTGTGTGTGTGTATCTATGTATGTATATATATTATATATATATGACTTCCAGCAAGGAAGCGACAGCGGTACAGAGTATTGTATTTTCATTTGTCCATGCCTTCCATCTGTTTTGGCAGGTAACCGGAAACCCCGCGTCGAGAAATGCATGTGTCGTAGATGCACATGGGCGCATGCAGGCAGGTATATGCACGCTGGTATGTGCTACTGTCGTCTCCTCGGTTTTGCTAAACGACTTTCGGCCCCTTCGGCCTTCCACTGTAGGATCCTATACTGCGCACTGCTACATCCCACAGAAAACGCACACTTAACGTCTACATTGCAAGTTGGCATAAACCTGTGAGCTTCAGGATAGTGGAACAAGGAAGCATACACCAACGTGCGTGGATTAAATATTAAAGATTCAACGAGTGAACAGACAAACATACATGCATGCTTGCATGATCTTGCATGCATGCATACAGGATTACATAGATACATAAGTACATACATAGGTAGACCCATAGTGTGAATACGAGCATGCGTGCATGCCTGTGAATGTGCTTTTGCGTATTTGCATATTGCCTGGCATGATGTGTTCTTGTATCGTTTTCTTACATATGACCTGTCCGTGCCCATGCGCATATCCTGAAACACATTTAGATATGCATCTATGTGTTCATCTATCTATTTGTTTATTAATGCTTCTGCGGCAGCCTCATCTTCAGCTCCGGTCGGAAGTAGTTCATGTGGTACCTCCAGATCTGAAACTATTTTCCAGATTTCTTCTTCAACAAAGGCTTGAGAGTGAAGGTGCGAACAATTTCGACAAGTCCAGTATGGGTTTGCGCCACAGCTGCCATGCAAGAGCTCTGCGAAAGCCATCTCCCATGAAAACTGAATGCTAATGTCAAGACCGCCTGAAGTTGAAGCTTCAAGGGCTTGAAGTTAGAGCAGTTCGCTCTTAGCCTGCAGCGTCTGCACACCTAGTGTGAAAGGATCGAAACCCTCCAACCGGCGGACCACTGCTGCATCTCAAGGAGGCTGAAGGGCCCCTGGATCTGGTTCTTCGGGTCAATGTACTGCCAACCTCCGTAGTAGCACCAAGGAATGAGGTGGTGTGATGATGAGCATGGGGTAACGATGCAACGACAACCAACGACGAGAACGACGACCACGACAATTTCAACGACAACAACCACCACCACAACCACAGCCACAGCCACAACCACGACCACAATGACAACGACAACCACAATCTCAACACCACCAACCAACAACCACCATCCGCCAACCGCCAACCGCCAACTGCCCCGCAAGAACCACGGACAACAGCCAACTGCGACCAACCACCAACGACAGCCAACAGCCAGGAGCCAGGAGCCAGGAACCAGCCACCAGCAACAGTGACAGCAAAAGCAACAGCAGCAGCACCACCACCAACACCACCACCACCACCGCCGCCGCCGCCGCCGCCGCCGTCACCACCACCACCAACACCACCAAAAGGACCAAGACCAAGAACAACACCATCACCGCCGCTTGGTTTGACGTTTCAAATATTTGAGGTTTTGGCTGTCGCTGCTACTATCGTTTGTTGTGCTTGATCTTGTTGTTGATGGTGCTGGTGTTGGTGCTGGGCAGTGTAGTCGTTATTGTCGTTGTTGTTGATGATGTTGCTGTTGCTGTGCTTGCTGCTTATCTTCCTGACGGTGTTCTTGTTGTTCGTGCACTAATCTTCGGTGAAGGCTGCTGTTGTCCGTGCAATGTCGGTGTGGCGCTAATGGCGCTCGTGTAGCAGCAGCCGCCGCCGTCCTTGAAAAGAACTTTTCATGAGCAACCTCGAGGTTGCCGGGTGCGGGATTTCGCAGTCATCGCTTCCGAAGGAAGATCGAACTTCTTGAAGGATCGGGGCAGTGCCCAACCAGCCATCCAACATTTCTACAGAATGAAGGTCCCGAAAGCCGCAGCCTTGAAGCATTGAATCCCCGAAGAACACGATTCAGCGAACTTGGGATTGACTTTCCTCGCGTGGACGCTGAGTAAGAAGGAGAAAGAACATCTTCAAACAGTAGCTCACCCAACACTCCGCCTGCGAAACGGAGTAAAAGTTTCAGGTTTGGGGCCTCCGTCGTGGTAAGCCCAGGACTCCCTGCAATGTGTGACCCTTGCTTGCATGGCAAAGGCCCGTGCCTGTGGCCGGACAGGCCTGCTTCTGCCCGTGAGCGCCTTGAGGTGTCTGGAATTGAAATTGGCTTAGGATTGAAAGTGCTAGCATATACTAAGAGGTATGCTTTTGCTGGCCGAAAAGGGTACTATCAAGTTCCGAGAGAATCGGGCACCCCCTCACTTCAACCATACAAGGTCTCTGGAACATGAAAGCTGAGGCCCCCACTGGCCCCCATGCTCTGCATCTGCTGCTGTTGCTGCTGCTGTTGTTGACGCTGGTGGCCTTGGAGAAGCCCAGAAGGATCGGTTGGGAATCTCCGGGTTCGGACAAACTGTGGTCTGAGACTCGCATACGGGGGGGCTTCGTAAGACTGCTCTGGAGTACGTACCTTGTCAAAGATTCGAGTATTTTTCGGAGGGTCTCTGGTTGTGTTCACGAAGCCATCATCACGTCGCTTCACCGAGCCAGCCATGCAAAGCAAACCAAGCTCGTGCCCCGTAAGTGCATGTTCAGCAGAGAGTGACAAAGACATAAAGATATTCCATTAACAGTCCAGGTCCCACGACGCTTTGCGCTTTCGGAAGCAACTCCCCGAATAGAACGAGCCCACCAGTGCAGCAAGTGCCTGCAGCTGCCATCTGCTGCGCTTGTGCCAGCTTCTTCGCCTCCCATATGGGATCTGATTGCTACGATCCGAATGTTTCGAGATTACTTTATTTCATCTCTAGCTCCTGGCGCGTCCGTGTACAGTTCACATCAACGAAAGCTGATGCACATCATAACAAACTGGCCGGGTAGCTGTCTTGGCGGATGTACATGCATCTGCACGCGCATGACCGTGCAGATATGTACGCACACAGGCATTTCAACAGACACTTCTTTTTTTGAACATACCTCTCCATGCGGCGGTGTGTGTGATCGGTGTGATCAGCCGATGAGCTGGTTGATGCTGATGCTGTTGCTGTTGGTCATCACCCTTGGCATGCTGGCGATGATGCATGCTGGCTTCGAAGCCGTCTCCAAAGTCCAACAGGGAGTTCAGTCAGGAGTACGCGCAGACTGCAGTTAGGGGTTGTGTGACTGCCGTGATGTTGCTAGGTGTGCTGCTAGGAAAAAGTCGGAAGCATCTAGCATGGTCTGCCGTGATCTCGTAGATCCCTGAAAGGAACCCTTCAAAAAGCCTCACAGGAGCAGCTCTTCCCCTGAGCACTTTCGTGCCTCGTGCTGCTGTCGCTGTCGCTGCTCCTGCAGCCGCGCCTCAGAGGCTGAGCTGGCGATCGTATTCTTTCAGGGTTGGGGTTTTGGGTTCTCTTGTCAAGCTTTAAGATTAAAGGATCGGGGTTTTAGTGATGTTAGTGTGGAAGGGGGTTCTCTGAAATCCATGGTCCGCTCTTCAGATCCCCTCTGGGGCCCTTGCGGCATTCTCCTCAAGAAGCTGCATGCCATTCTGAGCTTGTTGGGCCTGTTCGTACAGCTGCATTCGCCTCGCAAGCTCCTGAAAGGGGGTCTTTTCTTTTTATGTTTTAGGGTTTAGGGGTTTAGGGTTTAGGGAGGAAAGTCCACTCAAAACTGACGCGGAAAAATCACCGAAGACAGCCTTCGGTGACATGTAAGACTGCTTTGAACTTCCTGCGTAGTCTGTCAACACCTCCCTTCTGCATTTTGCTACATGTACTTCAGTATTTGTGCGTGGCGGAACATAGATTTGCGATCAGCAGTGCCCTCTCAACAGGAGCGTGGGGCTGGCGCAGGATTCTGTAGCCGCAATTCCGGTAGAAAATGGATTGCAGTGTTGCAGGTCTCTTGTCACGGGCAGTTTGCTCCACCCTCTCCATTGTAATGCCCCCCCCCCCCCCCCCACACGTAGATTTTGATAAGCACCGATGCCGGCGACTACCATGCACGTGCAGCCATCCGATAGGTGATGTTCTTCATGGCAACTGCCCATCGACTGACTGCTCGTCTCGAACAAATCAAAAGACAGCTGGACCTGTGTTCGCACGAGCTGAAGCCCCCTGGCCTGCTGCGTCGAAGCTCCGAGGAGGAGAGCCCTTAGATGCGTTAACACTGGTTCTACTGCACACGGTCGGGAACCAGAACAAGAGGACAAAGTCCAGGCATATCTCAACGGAAACCCACACACCTCTTCTAAACTTTACAATTAACCCCTGTAAGCCCTGATAAAAATCCGGAAGCCCAAGACGCGAAAGAAAGCCCCTAAACCCCCAAAGACCCTGAGACCCCAAATTGAACCCTGAACCTTCAGAGTCCCGGGCTGCTCTCGTTTCTGCTGCTGTTGGCGCTGCTGAACCATGGCTTTGGCCTCCCGGAAGCTCTCGGAGGAACCAGGGAACGAAAAAGCAGAACGGGGGTTCCTGTAAGGGTCATTGCAACAGTTGCAAGGGTTTAGAGGTGTGCGGTTTGGAGTTTAGGGTTTGCGGTCTTCAGTGCTCAGCGTCTTGGAGCTTAAGGCGTATACTGTGGGGTTGCTGTCACTTAACGGCTTCTGTAAACGTCTTATAGGGAGCAGCAAATCAACCCTAAATGCGGATCTAAAAATCCCTGATCTGAACCCTAAACCCCAAACATTTAAGAGCCCCCGAAACTTCAAAAGCCCCGAAACCAGCAAACCCCAAAGGCCCCCAAAACCCCCTCAAGCTTCAAAGATCCAAAACTCGGATCTCCACCTGCGCCGCATTGTGGGCCGCCTGCAGGCGCAATGCGGCGGCGGCATCTGCCCCACCTGAGCCCAGTAGCTGGGTTAAGGTTACAGGTTTAAACTTTGGCTTCTGTTGATAGGGGTTTAGAAGTGCCTAGGTCTAAAATAAAAGGTTCCAGGTTTGGGGTTTGTAAGGATTTAAGAGTTCAGGTTTCGGAGCCAGGGTGCAGGGCTTCGGGCGGCAAGGTTCTCACATTGGGCTTCCAGCGCTAGGACAGGGTTTTTAGATACAGGTTGTAGGGTCTATGGGGTTTATGGAAAAAGGTGCAGGACTTCGAGAGTTCCTAGCGGGGCAGGTTCGAGGTTCCCGTGTCTTCGAGCTTTCATGAGGGTAGAATAGGGCCTGCAAAGATGAGGGAACAGCACGACACTCTGAACGCTATTATGAGTTAACCTGCAAGGCCCTGAAATGCCGAGTCCCCGACATTGCATTTCCCTAAGTCGGGCTCTTATCGAAACCCTAAACCTTGAGCCACAAACCCTATACATCAACCCCAGGTCCTTAAAAATACATCAACCCCAGGTCCATAGAAGCCCTGAAACTCAAAACACCTACTAGGGCACGGCAGTTGTCGATTTCCGAGCTTGGGGCTTGATCTGGGGGTTAAGGGATCATATCGCATAAGGGGCCTCACGAACTGGAATTGGGTTGTGAGGTGAACTGCGGTAATAATTACACAAGCGACTACAATCTACGAGGAATACTCTTACTGATGATTCGGGCCTCTATACTGGGAGGCCTTCCACCTGGTTCATACTCGAACTACCACTCGCGAGCAGCAGAGCTTGGCCCCCTTGCCGCCATAGCCCGCAGATCTTTGCAAGTTGAGCATGTCTCTGACCTGAGGGGTTTTGTTTGCTTCTCGGAGGGCTCTTCAAAGGTCGCAGGCTGCCCGCCCGATCCAGGATCGCACTGTAGAGCTGCAGCAAAGTAGAAAGGATGATTCCGCGTAGTTAGACCCTAGACCCTTAGAGTATCGCTCCAGTGATGATTCCGCTGCATCCGCGGAGGATTGGTTCGGTGCATGTGCAAGCACAAAGGTGTTGGTTGCAGACTTCTCGTTCAAAAAAAGGAAACCGAGACAAGCAAAAAGAGAGCGAGAGGGAGAGACAGAAAGAGAAAGAGGACAGAGAGGGAGAGAGGGCGAGAGCCAGTGCGAGAGCGATGGTGAAAGTCGAGACGCGAAAGCGAGCAAAACGAACTAGATCAGAGGGTGCATTTTGTTCGATAGCCTGGAGAGAACTAAGTTCATCGGTATGCCTTGGGCTTTTGAAGACTCCGAAAAAAGACAAAGTAGGTAGTCTCGTAAACCCCACGGAGTCTTTCAGTTCTCGGACCCTTGAGTCGAACCCTTGCGAAGGTCCTAGCCCGAAGGTGCCTACTTTCTGCCTTGAGCTTTAGGGGTTCAGGGTTTAAGGTTTCGTCAAGGGGATTTGCAGGGATGCTTTCCGCAATCACTATGTCGCCATTTCATCGCAATGCCATCACTCATGGCCCCCTGTTGCTGAAGGAGGTCCTGGTCAACCCCCAGCTGTCAAGCCTGAAGGACGAATCTCGAGACCTCATGAGCTCTGTCATTAGCATGGGAATGTAACCGAGGGGCACAAGGCCAGCCGATCAAGCCAAATCTGAAAGCCAAAGGC